TCTTTTCTGTCCATTTGACCCTTAATGTTTGAGAGCAGTCTTGTATGAATATAATGTCATGCCACCTAATATGAAGTCATATCCACCTAAAGTTATCACGCGCGCATGGGCGCGCGCAAATTACTCACTTTAGCATCCCATCTGTAGAGTTCAATTTCATTTGATTTTGATTTGGCTTTAGCGGGATCTGTTGGCGGGTAGTTATGTTTGGTTTCTACTCTACCACTCCGTGTGGTTTGTCACATTGCTTAGGCAAAAAATAGACAACTATCTATTCACTTTAGCAGCCTATCCTTCCGGTTTGATTTCTCTAATCATCTGTTATAGTTTCTTTGCAGAAGGTCATGATTGGGTACCACAACAAACGAAAGTTTTTTGTTCAGTTAGTGCATCTAAAGGGAGTTGCATTGTACTCCAGTCCATCAGGTATTCATGACCTTTGTCTCAAACATTTTTCTCCTTCATTCATTATCACAAACTTTTGGTATGTGTTACTATAATTTTCTCAAGCAACTGATTGGTTAAAAAGGAAAACATTGGTGTTTGATAGCGTTTGATTTTCTCTCTCCATGATCCTTTGGATCCATCGGAGGAGATGCTATTGTTATTGGACCTGCAATTGTTGAAGGGCCTACTCAAAGTGTCATCGTTTTTTCTCATCCATTTGACCCTTAATGTTTGAGAGCGGTGTTGTATGAATATAATGTGATGCCACCTAATATGAAGTCATATCCACCTAAAGTTATCACGCAGCATGCGTAGGGCGCAAGAAATTACTCACTTTACCATCCCATCTGCTCAATTTCATTTGATTTGATTTGATTTTGATTTGGCTTTAGCGGGATCTGCTGGCGAGTTTGTCATGTTTGGTTTCTACTCTAGCACTCTATGTGTTAGTCACATTGCTTAGGCAAAAAATAGAAAACTATCTATTCACTTTAGCATCCTATCTCATCCACTTTGGTATCTCTAATCATTCATTACGCTTTCTTTGCGAAACTCATGATTGGGTACCACAACAAATGAAAGTTTTTTTCAGTTAGTGCATATAAAGGAGTTGCATTGTGCTCCAGTCCATCGTGTATTCATGACCTTTGTCTCAACCATTTTCTCCATTCATTATCACGAAATTTTGTATGTGTTAATATAGATTTCTCAAGCAACTGATTGGTTCAAAAGGAAAAACATTGATGTTTGATAGCAATTGAGTAATCAAAGTGAAGAAGAGAGTGACAATTTTAAATGTGGAATAAAGAATAGGTGACACTTGATTTCCATAAACCTAATTGTACTTGAAAGTTTCTCGAGATAGCGCTACTATGTCTTTTGGTTCCAAGTAAACAAAGCCCGATTGGTGGTCCTCCGTCTGCAGCATGCCAAGCATGTGTTGTGTGAGAAGCAAGACAAGATCAAGGAAGCTTATAAGAAGTTGCGGGGGATGGTTGCACAATAGGGACAAAGTCCCTTCTATTCGATTTGTTAAGGTTAGGTGTAAGGGCCCGATTGATGGCCGCTCCTCCACTCCTCTAGGCTCAAGAATAGTTAGGTTTCCCTAGATGAAAAGGGTAGTGATGAACTATGCACATTGTTACTGCTGAGACTTCGACGTTCTGTGACTTTGGGAGTTCTACCTTTTAGTGATGTTTCCATATTGTTATCTACCTATCTAAATGCCTTCACTCAGGGATTTGAATTTCGTCCGTATTTTGTTCCATATTTTGCTAAGTTCTTCTACCATGTTTTCCTTTTGTAAATGCAACGTTTAGTAGAAGAGTAGAATATACTTCGATGTTGTAGATCATGTGCAGGTGACATACTACATATCTGAAATATCTGCACGTAAATTATTTGAAAGCATGAAAATCTGATTCTATAGTTTTAAAGACATGACAAATAACAAGAAAATGCCCTATTCATACTTCTTTTTGTTGTTCTTCCAGTTCATCAGAATTCAAGACATTCACCGGATGAATAGCCTGTTCAAATAAATTATGAGCATCCCGCATTGCCGAGGCCTCGGATTGTTGAAAGGCAAAGACCAAAGTGCGAGAGGCACGAGCCCGCTACTGGGGGATGCCATGATGTCAAGTTCAATGGCAACGACTAAAGGTCATGTTTTCCATACCAGCTATAAATTTTGGTTTGCTTCATCATGTTATTTAGGGGAACATGATATATCATTATCTACAATTGCCTTGGGTACAAAAGCTTTGTCTAATTATTTGCAAGGATCAGAAGGAGCTGCTCCTTTTATTGGCTAAATTTGTAAAAACAATACCTGTTGCAGAGCACATGCGAACAATATTGAAGATCAGTGTGGTGGATGGATAGTTGCATGCCATGAAAAAAAGGTTGAACAACCACTCTTGGTAAGAATAAACTTATCTTTGCAATCTTATTGCTTTTTTTACTCAGCTTTTATTATGTACTCGATTCACACAATCTATTTCTACTATTAGTCAATTTGATCGATTTACATGATCCATTTTTCCTTTTCAAATATACAATGTGCATCATTGATATAGGTTCACCTCACATAGCCTGTCTTTTACTAATTTCCGATGGTGTCACTAGATTTCTAATACCAAAGTCTTTGCTTATAGATGATCTATCCCTACAAAGTACCTCATGTACCGACTTTGTGGAGATTGATTCTAATGTGTTTTGGGGCTCTTATTGTAATGCTAACATTTTTTTAAGAAATTGCTAGCCATATACCGATTGTGTCTTGCACGATGTCAGCCTCTCTTGCTATATAGGTTGCTTCATTCTAAGGTTTGTTGCTTCACCTATTTGGCTATTTCAGACCAAGTACATTGCATGTACACACATCAGGCTTTATAAGTGTACTTGCTAATAGTCGGTGATGCTTGCTAGCCCTGCACTATGATGCCTACCACCTGTTTGTTAGAGTAAGCAAACAACCCAAGCAGCTCATACCTTTTCCCGACTTATATAAAAAAACAGAGATAGAATGATCATATAATTTTGTGTTATCTTCATCTTAATGTTTATATGTTCTCTTTAAAAATATACTTTCATATATTTAGTTTCATATATTGATGTATAATACACCTGTCCCATAGACTGGTGAAAAAATATATATATAGTCTAAGCAAACACCATTTTAGAGTCTAAGCGCAAATGCCTAGAAAATTTAGTCTAACCAAACACCATTTTAGATCAGATATAGGTTTAGTTTCATATATCCTGCCTAAAAAATATAGTTGATGGATAATTGGTAGGACTGCAAAATCCCCAGGTCAAGTGACTACTGACGACATATAGCACTGAGTTAATTTCATTTATAAGGGATTTACTCAATTTCCATCTCTCAATCAATAGGATGGCATGGATGTGTCCTGCACCATGTAAAAAGAAATTAAATCTTTCAGTTTCTGTGCATGACATATCTACATTAAACTCATTCCCCTAATATTATTTCCATGCAAAAATTAAACATATATTTTTTATCAGTGCCTTATGCAAAGATTTAACATATATTTTTTACCAGTGTCTTAGCCAAGTGATACGCCGATGCGCGCAAGGGCGCGCGTGATGCACTAGTCATCTTTATACGTGAAAGAATCGGGTTTCATCCTAGCACTCATGACTCAGCACCGATTTCTTGGTCGACACGTGTCATCCTGCCATGCTGGCATCATGTCGTGCTATGGCAGCCGTATGTGTCGTGCCCTCTCCACGACAGCTCCCAACACGTCGGTTCCGCGTCATACTCAGCACCGCTTTCTTGGTCGGCATGTGTCATCCCGCCGTGTTGGCATCATATCGTACCGTGATAGCCGTATGCGTCGTGTCCTCTCCACGACAGGTCCTCCCAACACGCCGGTCCCACGTTATGACACTACACACGTGCCTCTCCGTTAATTGATCTTTGCATATTTATATATATACACGATAAACATACATTTGGATTCTGGAACGGTCTGCCGAGTGATTACACCAGATGTTAGCTGGGCCATTAGATCGAAGCCTAATCACTAATTTGCGTGCTCCTTGATCTATGGAATGAGATCATTCTAATCTTATTAGTTGTTATTAATGCTCCTCCTTGGTTGAATTTAATCTTCATATTAATCAGTTGTTTGTGATAATATAAATAAAAATGTACCAAAAGTCCATTAACTCTTAACGACATACCATCTATGTTATCAACTCTCAAATTGTATTTTTGGGTTCCTAATAAACTTTATAGGAGCATCTCCACCACATCCCCTTTCTCTTAAAATCTTGTAAAGGGGAATGAGAAAATTGAGTTGCAAAGTATAAAGGATATGAGCTCTAACAGATTGAGAAAAATACATTCCTTTATGTGTGAAACCCACGTATCAGTTGATAAGAAAAAATGTCTTTGAATTTTAGAGGCATCGGTTCATTTACAGGGATAGTTTAAAAACAACTGTTAAGCTTTAGAGCTAAAGCTTCTGTGGTCTAAAGTTAATTTTAAACTTTAACCTACTTCACATTAACACATTACTCTGTAGACCTTAAAACCGAGCTAAAGTGTTCAAAGTTTTTAGAGCTCTAAAGTTTAGAGAAGATCCAAACAGACCCCTAGTGATTCCAGGGAAATCACAACCGCACAAGACAACTCTGTACGATTTACGAAAATCTTCACGACAATGCATCACTGTCAGAACAATTCAACCAACAAGTTCCAGTCGATATACAAGGACAAGGCTAGCCAGTTTTTCAGTACTAAGAACTCGGCTCTTTCCCATCCAAAAATGTACTGAAAACATTTTTTTTCTGTATTGTTCATTATTCCAGTGGATAATATACAAGGCTTGCCAGTCTTTCAGTACACATAAAACGCCAATATTCATGTCAAAGCAGTCAGTATATAGGCGACAAACTCTTGCCGCTTGTATGACTTTGTTACCTACGACTCTACGAGGCACCGTAAACTAACCACCACCCAACGTGTAGTAGCTCTGAAGAGAAAACATCAAAACAGCCTCCAGGCTCCAGCTCTTCCCTCACAAAGTGAAATAAACCGGCGGTGGATGGACGATTTCCATCTTCGACCTCGTGACGTTGCCGGTGAGCACACTCTCCGACATGGCCTCGTCGGCCTGGAAAGGCTGCACCTGCGCGATCCTCTCAGGGATCGCCTGACCCTCCTCCACTCGAGCAAGGACTTCATAGTGTGCTCTCAGCCTCTTGGGCTTCGTCTTCCATTCCGGAATATTTGACCAGTTCACCTCCCCTTCAGCAAGCTTCTTCTCCACCGCGAATGCCATCTTGACATAGGTTTGAGCCGAGGCCCGTGCCTTCAGTAGCTTGAAGGTACCTTTCTCGCCTGCTTTCTTTCCAAGTACCGAGGCCAATAGCTCCTCAAATCCCTGCAGACTGCCATCTGATCCATTCAGAGACAAAAGAGGCCACAATCCAGAGTTATGTGGTTCATCCTCGTCTTCAGCGATAGCAGGGATTGCCCCCGCCCGTGAGGAGAGCTCCACTTGGCCTGGGGCCAACCGTTTGAGCTTGAGCTTGTCCTTGGGAGACATGGAAGGAGTCGAGGACAAGGAGGTTGGGCCCTCAATGCGAAGAGAGAGCAGGGGTTTCTGATTAGACCGGGCTGCACCACGCAGGGCTTGTGCAATGGATAGTAGGCTCGAGAGGCGACCCATGTAAGTGGTACGGTTGAGAGGAAGTGGTAGTTCAAGTGGCAACCGGAGGCTCACAGCTCTGGCACCCTTCACTGTCACGACTGCACCATCGGACAGAACAACCTTCTTCAAGGTACCAGCGTCCACATCATGCTGCAGAGAAATCAAGCATCGAAATTTAGATTTGATTGTGGTGAGCGTTCAAGCAATAAGTGTACAGAATTCATATGTCAAACATATATAGAGAGAGTAACTCAACTCAACTAACTTACCCTTAGATAAATATATGCTCCACAATATATTTGTTTCTTTGACTCAATTAAACAATGGTATGTACTGTACTAAATAGATACCTGCACGAATCCCACATACCAGAGGTTGCCATTTTAAATGTATGCAGGGAATTCGTATTTGAAACTTGTAGCCTTAGTGTTTAATCAATTATCCCTTTGTTTGGTTTCGCTTTTTGAGAGCTAAAAAAACAGCAAGAGGCTGGAACTGTAACAACAATTGGTTGTGTGCAAAACTCTTGCAGAGACCAGAATAAAATTCCTTTTTCTAAAAAAGGCTAACTATTATGATATTATATAGCAAGAATTATCCAATCTATCTATAGCATAACGGATTTGCAAATATCAAAATATACTTTCTCACATGAATATCTGCCAAGCAGTAAAGTACAGGAGTGCACACTGAAAACCGTAACCCAAGAAAAGGATCCTTATTCCACTAGAGCAATCCGGTAGAGCACAATTGAGCTGGCAAGGAAATCAGACATACGCAACTGATAACATAATAGCATATAAACACTGAAACATTTATCAGTTCATTCTTGTCACACTTTGCACAAAAACATCAGTTGCCATTTGCTGCTTAAAAGCAACTTTTCAAACAGACTATACTTAAAATGCACCTTAAAATCTTCAGGGAAGGAAGTTCAAAGTTAAAGATGCCAGCTGCATCATACAGAACTACTCTTCTCATTCTAGGCTAGTCCGAGTTTGAGCCCAAAAAAAACGTATCTTTTGTAATGCCACCGCCCCAACTCCAAATTTGATAATTTCAGCCGTGCCTTTTGGTTTGCCTCTGATGCTCGAGTGTGAGTAAACATTTAGCTTAACCTCCTGATCTTAATGTTTTTAATGTTCCTATTCTATCACTACCTCCTGATATCATCCCAATTTGCACATGCCTTTGGGCGAGCACGCCTGACCCTTGGCAACCACACCATTTCAATCTCTAGACTAGACTCTCAGAAACTCAGATACATACCGAAGACACAGACTCACAATTCAAAACCAACCAGAACAAGAACAATACAAGTCGCACACTTGTACCGTTGTATAAAAGGGAAAACATTTCATTATTTGGGTGTCAATCCACACGCCTTACTGGATTTCGGTGTCAATCCACACCCCCGGCATGCGAATTCTATCAGCTCAGGTGATCCCCTCCCATTTTCATCAATTTCCAACTTTTTGCAAAACAAACTTCTGCTCTTACCGGCAAGGCAAGCCTGACGTCGTCGCCGTCCTGGATCCAGAGCTCCATGGGCCCGGCGAGCTGGAAGGGAGGCAGGGTAGGCTCGACGACGCTGCCCCTCCCGCCCCGCCTGATCTCGGCGAGCGCCGTGTCGTCGGCGTCGGCCTGGGAACGGAAGATGGGGAGGTCGACGAAGTCCCACCGACTGACGTCCTCCAGCAGGCGCACCGGCAGGACCTTCCTGCCGACCTCGATGTCGAACTCGAACGCCACCGCGTGCCCCACCAGCGCGTCCCGCACGTCGAATCCGGACACCTTGAGCCCCTCGGCCTGGAACCCCAGCCCCTTCACGATCGCGTCCCTCAGGTCCTGCGCGCGCGGCATCGGGAATCGCGTTCAATCCATTACCCAATCGGATCGGATCTAGAGGAGGACAGGCGAATCACAGCAGGAGAGGGAATTTCGCTCTAGCTCAGTAGCTCACCGAGATGGCCTTGGGGACGACGGTGGGCTTGGGCGCCGCGGCGGCCTCCGGCTTCACGAGGCCGTGCGCCGACCCCGCCACGAGGAAGAGCGCGACCGGCAGCGCGAGGAGTCGCCATCGAGCGGGAGCGGGCATGGCTGCTGCTACTGGTGGTGCTGCCCTTCTTCGCTATGGATTAACCGTATATCGTTTCTCCTCCGGCGAGGGGAGACGAATTGGATTTGCTCCGGGCTATAAAAACGATCTCTCTGGAGAAGAAGGACGACGCGTGGGGCCTTGAAGCTGGTGGGTCCCGCCGCGAGCCAACGGTGTACGTGGAAGTCTCCAGAGGTGGAGTCCGTTTTTTTTTCTTTCGGGGCGGCGTTCCTTCGCTTCGCGGCTGTGATGAGACTGTGACGAGGAACACGTGTAGCAAACCAATGAGGTGCGAGCAATAGATTGCGTGGACAACCCAAGGCGAGAGCGCGGGAGGCAGGTGAGGCGGGGCACCGCACCGTCTGTGCCGGAGTGTGCCAGGCCGCAGACCGTCGCTTACCGGTAGACATGCACATGTCTACCAAAAGAATATTCATATATCACTACATACAGTATAATTTGCAACTTTTATTAAAATCTTCTATAAAATGTAACTATGTAATGTAAACCTGTCTTTGTTTCTCGCTGCTAAACACATCCTGAGTTTTTTTTTTTGCCAACGACATGTTGATTTTCATATGTGTGTGCATATAGGTTGAGGCCGTTGCTCGTTTCCCCCAAACAACATGGTAAAACCAGTGTCTGGGGTGGGCATTCGAATAACCTAAAAATTTCAGGTCAGGCAATTTAGATAATTGAAAATTCAAGTATTAGAAATTGCTATCTGACGTGGATTCTTAAAAAAGCACTACCTCATGTCCTCGACTAAGCATGTGTGCTCGTATTTTTCTACATTTATTTCGGATTTAACGGCGCTATGCTTTTCAATGCTAGGCGACGTCCCCGTCGACAGCGAGGCGCCTGTGGTGGCTTCGTGAATATCGAGATCTGCCGGCTCAGTCCTTCGGAGATGCTCATAGGGGTAGGGTTTACATACGTGTGTTCATATAGGTGAGTGTACATGCATGTTGTGGGCGTCTGCGTTGTACTGTGTAATTCTCAAAAAAAATTACAAGGACCCAATAATTAGGGTTTGGATTCAAGTTTTACCGGATATACCATAAATTGACAAAACCAATAATTTGATAGAATTTTAGTGGCATTTTAAAGGAAAACAACAATCCTTTAAATCACTTTATGTATTCATCTTCATATTAATTAATTAAGAGTTAAGTACATCAGTGGTGCTCGAACTTGTAAAAGTGTGTCACGTAGGTCGACAAACTTTTAAAATGCATTTCACTCGGACATAGGTCCATGCCAGCTATGTGGACATTTTCTACTAACTAGATATATGCCCGTACATTGCACTAGTATCATAATGTTTTTACTGAACCTCATCACTCGGACGCAGATGCATGAGCTCTGAGGATTTCGTATTAGACGCAGATACGTGGATCCGATCTTCGTGTTGGAACCAGGTAGGATGCGGACACAGTGAGCTCTGGGTAGGATGCGGACGCGTGAGCTTCAAGTGGAGGACGATTCGTATTGGACGTGTATACATGAGCAGGAGCGAGATTTGATATCACCGGATAGATGATTACTTTGTAGTCTTAGATAGAGAAGAGATGTGGCAATACCAGTGTGGTATGTGTATATTTATTTTTGACCCTCAAGTTTATTTTTCCCTTTCAAAATTGACCTCCCTTCTCCCTCTTCTGTGTCCTTGTTCTCCTTACGTTGCTGCTGCAGAGGATCATGCCTCTTGGAGTTGCATTGTCGCCGCCCATGGTCTTCTTCAAAGGAAAGATAAATTTGAAGGGATAAATGTAAAAATTTCGTCGAGCAGATAGTGCACATCCTAGAGCAGCGGCGAGGGTCCTATGGAGAGGACTATGGGGGGCGAAAGGGCGGGTAAGCAGGTGTGACGCTTACCAGCGAAAAGGAGGTGGCTGTGCTTCCGTTGGCTCCTACCCCGACCGTCCAGCGATCACCGGAGGAGCCTGGACGTGGTGGCGGAGATCACGAGTTCATGCTGCTGCTGCACTTGATGGAGCACTGCTACTACTAGTGGTGCTCGGGGTAAGGGAGGAATGGAGCTCCTAGGCTACCTCATCGCTTGGCCACTGGTCCCGTTCGGCTTGCTGAAATTTGACTGAAATTAGTTAAAAAACATTGTTCTGGCTGAAATGCTGTGAGAGAAAAAACATTGTTTCGGCTGAAAAAAAGAAGACGAACAAGCCGAATTCAAGGTAAGCCGAACGGGGCAGTGGCGTCGCCGTGGAGCCCACCTGCGCCGGTGCCCCCGCCGCCTTAACACCCCACGTTGCCGCCCTCTACCCAAGCAGACAGGCCGACGCGCCATGATTCCGTGAGGCTCGAGAGATTTGTGGTCGGAGTCTTGCCTGGACAATGGACTCGACCGATCCGCAATCGAAATGGCGGCGGCGCATGTGCCCTAGGCTGGCTGCGTTCGCGTCTCGCCGTCTCCTCGCCGATCACTGCACCCTTGCTGTTGCCCACTCTCCGCACGAGGGAGCCTAGCCCGACAAACTTCGCGAGCCATCTGATAGGCGTAGAAGCGGGCAAAGACCCGAACCGCTCTAGCATCGGACGAACGACGTTGTTTGCTTGCCGAATCGAACGATAAATAGGTTAGCGGGTGACGTGGCGCTATAGGGTGCCCGAGCTTGAACCCAGGATTCGATAGGTAGAGATACTCAGACCGAGACAGAAGGCATTGCTGTCAGGTGACAGCATTGCTCATATACTGGATCCGGTCTATATAATTTGACATGTATTGAAAAATATCTTATAGTTTCTAGTGCGACTGTCCTTAGCTGACCTCAGGCTTAGGGGAAACCGAGTTATGAAAGTCCGTGTTAATTGCCAGCCTTGCAACCTTTGCTCACGCTGCTAATGCCCAGAAGTTATGTACTAGTAGGGTACTGCTAGTGCATAAGTTAAATAGTTGAACTCAAGTTAATCATACGCTAACGCTGCCGAAGTGCCAATTCCCGAAGTTATGTAGAGTACTGATTTTTCCTTTTTGCGCAAATGCTGAACCAATCGACGAACCTTACAGGCGCGTCAGGAGTAGGCATCATGTTCGCTTGATCGTATCAGCCATGATACAGTGTTTTTCTCTCACAATAAAACAGCATCAATCGGTTTATAAGTCATAGAAACGATCAAGCGAACAGGGTGTAGATCGTTGGCGAGGAAAAAACTGCATGAAAAATGAAGGTCCCACCGAGATTTGAACTGAGAGATTTGACTCAAGTTAATCACGAGTTCAACCGAGAGATTTTTGTCCTATTCATTTGGTTGATAAACCATGACTGAAAATACTGTTGGCTGATTTGTTGTGAGAGAAAAATATTATTCATTTACTAAAAAAAAATACGACTTATAGCAAACAGGACATTGGGACCATTCGTGTTAGCAAATTAAAATATTTTTATTAAGTTCAACCGGCTACCGCTGCACTGCGAAGTTCACAACACGACTACTCTGCGCTGTGCAGTCAGCTCAAGCTGACGATACATAGGAGTAGTTCATACCATACTGTCGCGTCACAGTTATGTTTCCACCTGTTTGCATAATTGCGTTGCTAGTATTTGCTACAATATGGTCTTGTTTAGATTGCCTCCAAATTTCAAGTTTTTTTACTCTCTCTCCATCACATTAATTTTTGGACATATGCATGGAGCATTAAATGTAGGTAAAAAAATAACTAATTACACAGTTTGGTTGTAAATCACGAGACGGATCTTTTGAGCCTAGTTAATCTATAATCGGACAAAGTTTGTCAAATACAAACGAAACGTGGTACAATATCCAGATTGTAAAAATTTACAATCTAAACAAGACATGTGAATCCTTGTCTCTTCAGAGTCCAACAAGCCTTGATCGCAATTTCGCATCCATCAGGGCGAAGAGGCGCCGTGTATCACCTGCCGGGAAACACTCAAGCGTGAGTAGCACACCAAGGAGAGATCCGCGTGCATATCCATATCCATATCCATATCCATATCCCCATCCAAAGTGGACAACTTACTGGCCATCTATTTTGCTTTAAAATTAGCTCTTCTCTAGGGTATAATATGGCACAGGCGCTCAGCGTTACTTGACCCAACACTGGGGTGCTGTTTGCTTGCATTATGTAAACGTTAACACAAACGGTAGTGGAAGACGTTGTAAATGGAAACAAATTAAACGATTACTGACTTTGTTTGCTTTCTGATAGTAAACGTAATGGAATTAGATAAACAACGAGATCGAGAGCGAGGGTTTGTCTTCAAGCTCCGCGCGTTGCTCTGCAGCTACTTCCAGAAGTTCACAGCAAGACCAAGACCAAACTTGCACAGCTCCTGACAGTTCTCCGGACGGCTGAGAGGCATGGACGACGGCGACAAGGCCGAGGCAGCAGTGCAGGTGGCCGCCGGCACTCGTCTAGCTCGAGAAGGCCTTCATGGCGTGCCGCTCTGTGTCGCTTAAGCTGGTTCAGAACTACTTTTTAGTCATGAAATAATGTTTTTCTCTTACAACATTTTAGCATAAATATCAGTATAAGTCAAATTTTAGCATCAGTGAACAGGATCGAGTCCAATCCTTTGTGGGGTATTCCAGTGCAGCGGGCAGATCACCGCGCAGACAGCCCTCGATGAGATGAGAAGCCCCGGTTCACGTTGTGGACGGCGCGCTTTCTGTGAGCATTGTAGCTAGTTGCATCTGGACGATCTACGGCCTGTTCGGTTGGCTGGTTTGTATCGTTGCTGGTTCGTGAAGAAGTACTGTTGACTGGTTTGTGTGAGAAAAAAATACTATTATGGCTGGAGACACTGTGAACAGTGTCCGCGTGAGGAGGCTGGCCAGCCCAGCCAGCCAGCCAGCACTGCCGACGAAATATGGTCGGCAGTCTACCTATGGATATGCCTAAGGTAGTAGATTATCGACAGACATGTGCGCAAGCTTTGAACGAGATGGTAACGCAAGACAGACACGAGGTTTTATCCAGGTTCGGCCGCCGTGAGGGCGTAATACCTATGTCCTGC